TGGGTTAATATGATACAGATCGAATGTATTTATGGGGTGAATTTCCTCTTTTTGGATTTACGGGAGTAAGTGGTATTTGTGGAATCTTTTCAGGCACCAGCAGTAGTCTGCCATCATGTTAGTGTTCCATCTCCCTTGATATCTCTTTTCCATGTTATTTATGTCCTGATGAAACTCTCCTTGCTCTTCACCCCCTGCATTAAGATTTCCAGGAGAGTAATTTATATGACTATAATGAAAGTGAACTTTATCAAAAAAAATAAAGCAAAGCTTACAAATTTGTCCAGTACAGAGAAACCAGATGGTTCCTGGTTACAAACCAAAACAATACCCTTGTAGCTTTGTCAAAATCCCTACCAAACAAGAGACCTTCCACTGCTTCGGAGAGCGGTTCTTTCTGGACAAATTCGTCCTGACCCCATGCAGTGAGTGCTTTATGGCGAAACGTGACGTGATAGACAAAAAATAAATATTATTTCTGGAATCAGAACCCCAAAGCAACTGAAGCATCTGTTACTTTTTCGTCAGTAAATTTAATACGGGACTGTTTAATTCAAACACGATCTAAAATTAAACACAGATTACCTGATTTACTTAAATGAATTGGGAATGTTTAAGTAGTAACTAGATTAAACCAACCCATTAGCTGATTATTAGCTGATTAGTAACGTTTAATGCTGGATGTATTATGTCTAATACTGTCAAAAGTAACACTATCGATACTTATCTTGAAGGAAATTCTTTGACTGTGTATCAAAATGGATTAGTTATATATAGTAACATCTTTTGATTTCACCGCATAAAGTATTACATATTGCCTTTACGTGAACCTCCACTCAAATTACCTTTCCTTCGAACCTCCATCTCTATGTGGAAAGCTTCGTGTATATGAGATTGGGTATTTAGAAATGAAGAAAAAGAAAATAGAATCGTCCCGAGAAAACCTGAGCCCCCTCTGGGAGCATCCCGTCCAAGGCCGACACAAGGTGCGCTTGCACTATCTCTACAATGGTGAACGACTGGTTTAAGGATAAGTCCGATATGCGAAGTTGAGCCTCGCCCGGGCTATGAGGGGAACCCGGCCTGTGTCAACTAATGTCGACTCGCTAACAGTGTGTCAGCTGGTGCTGACTCGGCTTTTGTCTACCCGCCGTGGTGCCCAGCCACAGCAGGAACCCCCATGCGACAATTGCAACTTCTCACGCCTGGGCGGGGAGCGAACCGCCGACGCGTTATCACTGTACTAGCCTGGAGGCTTTGGGAGGCTTATCTAAATGCTCTATTAGTGTTACACTTACTGATGATCACTATAACACATATTCACAAGAGAGAAATTCTTTTGTTGTCCTTCAGGTATTGTTACAGAGCAAGTTAAAAAGGTGGGTAAAAAAGGAAAAAGAGTTTACTATATTTATCATGTAAAGTAACCAACTTATCAACCACATTTTTAACACACCATGCGCGTTTTCTGTGTGGCCGATGTCTGACTTAAAGCACCCGACCTGCTCACGTAAACACTATGAGAAACACAGCTCTCTTAGAAAAAGTCCAGCAAAACATCCCAAAGGTCGGTTCCCAATGCCGGTCTTAAGACTAGCACTGGAAAACAATGGGCTTCTTCGTGGAAATACATCTGTGTGCTATTCTAATACCACATTTCGAAAGAGTTCTAGCATTATTTTCCTATTCCATCCCGGTCATTCGATAGACTGAGTAGGGGAGAGTGGGTAGACATACGGGAATATAGAGAGAGCTGGAGAATGGGCAAACAGGATGTTGTAGGTAGACGGCAAAACGCAGAGATAGATGTAGAGATCAATGTTCCCATGCACAATACATATTCTAACCTCTACATATTGTTCGCTATCAGGCTAGCTAACACCTGGCACTTAGTCATTCAGCCTAACACATGTTTTTCCGCTATAGCAAGTGTGTTTTGTAGTTCAATAGCGCACGTGTTCGTTTAGCGCGCGCGCGCACACACACGCATGCACGCACACACACACACACACACACACACACACACACACACACGCACACGCGCACACACACACACACACACACACACACACACACACACACACACACACACACACACACACCCCTATTCTAATGTTTTGGATTTTTTCTGCAAATTGCACGATAATTTGGTACTGTATGTTTACTATATTGATTCTAGTTCTCTAACATAATTCCTTGTAACTTAAGGGAAGTTTCCTAACATAATGACTTAAAAAGATAATAAAATAAAGAAACGACCTGCCTTCAACATTTGGAAGCATTGAAATATCATCTTTGCAAATAAACAAACAGAAAGACACCAAACCAAGAAGAAAGATCAACAGCTTATTTAGAATTATCTGCTGTATTGCAATGTTAATATATTTAAAACTTTAAAAATCTATAAAGGAATGTCTTGTAAATAAAATAATAATAATTTTTATATAAAAAAGTAAATCATAAATATTATGTTCTAATTGAATAAAAAAATATTGCATAGATATGCATAATTAAATTTTAAGAAATTATTAGTCTCTGTTAGAAAAAAAAGACCTTTGTCACAATCCTCCCCTAATACATTTTTCAGTGTATATGGGGGAGACAAGTATGTATGTCTTTGGTCTGAGAATGATGCATATCTTTTCACTACATGTGCGACCGGTAGTGGCTTTTGGCATCCCATCTATCTTGTGTGCCCGATTCTCAGCCTTGTTAACAAACCTTCTAATCGTCAGTTGGGATGGACGCTGGTCACTCAACTGCCAGGGTCAACTCTAATCTCTCGCAGCTTGTTTCTAGAGGTATGCCTCCACTGTTCTCCCCATTTATCACAAAGACAACTTCTGATGCTGGGTTTCAAATTGGTGTGTGTGGGAGGAAAACGAGCAACAAAGGGCTGAGCGGCAGCTGCCTTGGCTTTCCGATCAGCTCGCTCATTCCCGCTGATACCAACATGTGCTGGCACCCAAAACAGAGTTATATTTTTACGTGTTGACATCAGTGGAAGCCAATCTTAAACCTCCCTTACCACTGCATGTGGTGAGGTTAAGCTCTTGATCGTTTGCAAAGCACTATGAAAGTCGCAATAAGTAACAAAAGAATGGTTCCTAAGGTCACTATTCATCCTGACTGCTAGCTGGCATGTAACTCTGCAGTGACGATCGAAGCTGCCGGAGAAAGACTGCCAACTGCAGTTTTCCTCGAACCATCTGTATATGTTGCATCTGATCCTTGGGACTTAGAAGTGTGTTGAAGAAATCTCTGATCTCTGCTTTGGATCTTTCCACCTTCCCTATTTTGACCAAATCCAGCCCGACTTGATTGGTCCAAGGGGGAACTGGGGTGGTCCAACAGCTAAAACCTTGTTGATATATTTTTTTTTTATTTTTAACCTCTAATTGTTTGATGTAGGGCACCCGCGTGAGCCTTAAGTAAAAATTCTGACTTAAGTACTTCACCGCTTCGACAAAATGAAGTGGGTTTGCTATTAAATAGAGGAAAGAATGAAACTTTCCTCCTCTGCGGAAATACATAGCCCTGGTCTTGCTTGGGAAAAATTTGAACCCATGGTATTTTGCCCACTGCACAACCTGGTTTATTGCAGTCTGCATGTGTCCTTGCACATCCTCTAAGCTTCCTCCAGGGCAATAAGGTGTGAAGTCACCAGGAGGAAAGAGTAGATTCTTCTTTTTTCCTAATCATAGGTAGTAAGTGGTGGTAAACGGATCAAATAATCTCAGCAGTTATTATTTTTTTGTTTGTTTGTTTGTTGCTTTGTTTCTTGTCTATACAATGCTGTCTACTAAAATCATAAAAAAGTCTGTACAAATAAAATATTTAAAGTAATGTAACAAATTTTGAAGATGTCATAATAGTGGATGAATTTTGGTAAAGTCTTCAATTCAGGAGTCTGAACTGTAAAAGATTCCTTTACCATTTACTGTGCAAAAACGCTTAATCTACACACAATGAATGTTAGGTAATCAAGAGCAGCAGAGATGCTTTGGTTAGCTATGATGATCAAAGGGTGAAAATTACGTTTTAATAAAAACAAGTTTACGATGCATGTCAACCTGTTGAAGGCATCTAAGACAGGGAATCATTCCCTTTTTTTTGGCTATCATTAATTCAAAGGATCCATTTATTCCAAAACTTTAGATAAGGTCATACAGTTCGATTTCTTTTCTTTTTTTCTTTTCATGTTAATAAGCTGGAAGAAATTAAGTTTAATTTACTGTTTATGAAACAATTTTCACAAGGTTTTCTTTATAGTTGTTATTACTGTTATTATTGTATTTTTATGTGAGCTATTGTTGGTCTTTTTTTCTATGACCTGAGACACACAAGCTAAGAGAGGGAAAGGAAGAGACACAAGCTAGGAGAAGGAAAGGAAGAGACACAGAAGCTAGGAGAAGGAAAGGAAGAGACAGACAAGCTAGGAGAGGGAAAGGAAGAGACACACAAGTTAGGAGAAGGAAAGGAAGAGACACACAAACTAAGTGAGGGAAGGAATAGACACACAAGCTAGGAGAAGGAAAGTGAGAGACACATAAGCTAAGAGAGGGGAAGGAGGAGACACACAAGCTAAGAGAGGGAAAGAAAGAGACACAGAGGCTAGGAGAAGGAAAGGAAGAGACACACAAGCTAGAAGAAGGAAAAGAAGAGACAGAATCTAGGAGAAGGAAAGGGAGAGACACACAAGCTAAGAGAGGGAAAGGAAGAGACACACAAGCTAGAAGGAAAGGGAGAGACACAGAAGCTAGGGGAAGGAAAGGAAGAGACATAGAAGCTAGGATGAGGAAAGGAAGACACACACAAGCTAGGAGAAGGAAAGGGAGAGACACAAATGTTGGGAGAAGGAAAGGAAGAGACACAAGCTAAGAGAGGGAAAGGGAGAGACACACAAGCTAGGAGAAGGAAAGAGAGAGACACACAAGCTAGGAGAAGGAAAGGGGGAGACAGAAGTTAGGAGAAGAAAGGGAAGGAAAGGAAAGTAAGGA